AACTCAAGGTTAAACTCGAATTTGATTTTGAAGATGATTTAATTATAGGGATAATTGTAGAAATCTCTCATGACATTTCTGATAGTTGCACTCATCTCCTTTGAGGTTTGGAACATAGTACTAACCTCCCCTATCACGAATTAAAGGACCTATAGTTGTCATAAGATAGGATAAATTTACTTCTATACCCTAAGAGTTTAAGGTTATTAGTAAACAAATTTGGGGCAAAAAAATTAGGGCAATAAACAAGTTTAAGATAACTAATTAAACAAGATTAACAGTATTTTTTTGTTTTATTAAGCACTATAAGTGCATTTATAAAATGGTGCCATTTTGATGCTCTAACATGGTGTCATTTTGTGATGGACGACACTTGAGAGGACAATACAAATCATATATTTTCTACATAGAAGAGAAGTAGAAGCAAGAAAATGTAGGAGAAAGAAACCCCTGGGCAAGACTTCATAAAAGAATAAGTTTTAGTGAGTTTGGTTGAGTTTATTTTATCTTATGCATTCATGAACAACAGGAGAAGGAAAGTAGAAATCAAGGCAAAATCTGAGAAATTTTCTGTTCAAAATTTGTAGCAATCAAAAGATGATAGGTAAGTAATCCTTTGCCATTTCAACTTAATACACAAAGTTGTGGTGTTAGTTATAATATGATGAAATTACTGTGTCGATCATGAGAGAACATAGCTGTGCATGAAATATAGTAATATTGTGAGATTGATATACTATTAAGTATGACAATAAGAAACTCTCTTATATTGATCAAAGGTGAATATTCTTACTTGATCAATAGTCTCTTTATATGCTTTAGAACCTCATATTTCTGAACATATGTTTGTTGTTTCTTCCAAAATTTACTGCTGCCTTTGTTCGCTTTGCACATATATCATCTGAGTTTCACTAATTGTATGCATCTCTTAATATTTTTCATTCTTTTACTAACACTACCTCACAAGAGGCAAAAAAGGTACAAATGGAACAAAATTATTATCTCACTTCCCAAAAGACTTTTTGAATGGCACTTTCTCTAGCATGGGCTGAAGTTACTATCAAAATCTTAAGTTTAGGGGAGATTAGTGCTATTTTTCAAACCTTAGGGGAGGTAAGTGCAACTATTAGAAATCTCAGGGAAGGTTTCTGCAATTTCCCTTAATTATATCTTTAATAAATAATACATTATTTAGAAGAAATTTAATTGCATTTACTAATTTTAAAAAAAAAATAATACTAATTTATGTATAATTACTTTTTAGTAAAATATAATATATACTTAATAATATTAAATATATTTATATTTATATTTCTTTATTTTTATAATTATATATGCGTTCATGAACTATTTAAAAGTTCGCAAATAGATTTATATTCAACTTAATTATTAAAAGAGCTTAATATCATGTTTAAACTCGATTCATTTACTAAATGATCGACCTTTAATTGAATTTAAATGAACTGAACATGAACACGTTCACGAACAGCGAGGTTCATCAAGAACTCTAGAGAACAGCATCTATACCCAAAATAGCAGACTTACGTTAACACAAAAAGAAAAGGGAATGACTCAAGGTTTTCATTTGTTAAAATTTTTTTATAGAAATTGCAATTTTATTTTTGCAGCCATATATAGTCAGATCTCCAACAAGTCATTGCATATAATGAATGTTGTCAGGCAAAATATTCCTGCCATCATTTCGTATTATCAAAAGCCACCCCATGTATTTCGGTAAAGCATTCTCCACATCAAAAAGGGCAATCAATTCTATTATACAAAAAATAGGACAATCAATATTGTACTATAAAATATATAGTAAATGAAACATCATGATAAAATAATTCACCTTTTAGCTCACGATCCGGGAAAGCCATTGATGCTAATGTTCAGAAAGACGAGAAGGCTTTTTAAGTGCAAATGACACCCACAACTCAAACAAAGCAATCAAATACTTTTTAGGCCTTGGCTACTATTTGCCAGTGACCTATCTTTTTAATTTGTGTCTTTCCATGGAATAGTTGTACTTAAAGGAATAAAGTTGATGTGATATTTGGTGTATGAAATGATTAATCCAGGCTGTGGTATTGTTGAATTGTTCACTTATACTGTGTGCTTAACATGCACCACCGAGTGGCTTGGCCTCGGTTGGATTGCAGTTTATTTATATAAAAAAAAATTAATATATTTTTAATTATTATTTTTATTTCATATGCATTAAATTGTTACAAAATATATTTTTACAAAACTCTAAAAAATAGTAATTCAAATGAGTTTCCCCTCTATGGCTTGAGTCTTCCAAATTAATTCTATTTCTTTTTGTGCTGTACTTTAATGTCACCATTGCTACACCAATACACACACTTTCAGTAGTGAAACTTACGTAGCATTTTAATACCAAAACTAGTAGACAAGATAAAACTTCATATACTTCCTCTTTTACACTAAAAAGATGAAGGAGGAATTGAATGGCACGAAGAAAGAGTACTTGATTTTTTGGCTAAAATTTGATTACAATACAATTATAAAACAAAATTTTATTAGTTTCTGCAAAGAAAATGGAGCAGGACGAGGGCGCTGCGGGGGAAGGGGAGAATAGTGGGCAGCGGGGCTCCCCCACCCCACTCCCACCTCGTTGCCATTCCTACTATCGACTACTTCAACAATTCACGATTGTATTGGGATTTGCATACTCACAATATCATATTTTCATTGGTATATTATTTTAAAAATATACAGCTTAAATACAACCTCATTTTTTTCATTAAAGATCATTTTTAGAAAATGAAGGATTTAGATTTGGGCCATTTTGAATTAAGATAAAAAGCCCAATATATTAGAAGGGACGAGATTAGATTTTGAGATTGGTAATCCATATGCACCATGTTTGGGCCATAAAAGGAGGATCATAATTAAGGAAAGACCTGCCCAAAAATAAACTTGGGCCTAATGGGTCAAAGTTTGAATATCCAATCTCAGGCCCAATTAAAAAATACTACAATTGAGTTTGAGTTTGGCCTAGTAGAGTTTCAAATATTATGGTTCAAGCTCAGGCCTTTTATTTCATTGGGTTTCGCACTCCAAAATGAGATTGTCCAAATTCAACAATTTCTTATTTAAAAATTATATTTTTCTAAAATACAATACATTATCTAACAAGACGAGGTAGCTTGCTTGCTCATTGTGAAAATGGTACTCTACTGAAAAGTTAGGTGATTGAACAATAGACTTGCAAAGATAACAGATAAGAGAACTCTACAATAGTTGGCTGGATGACAATTCATACGTTTCCCTTCTCTATTGTATAATCTTTTACCCTATCAACCACTACTAAAATCAAAGTTTAATATTTTGAGAACAAGATTAATCATAATTATTGTTGCACATCTCTTAGATAATAATAAATTTTAGATAATGAGTAATTATTTACAAGGGAAAATCGTTCAAAACGTCCCTCACATTTTATAAAATGATTTTTTCGTCCCTCACTTTTAAAAGTGTAATTTTATGTCCCTTACATATTCACATCGGTCAAATTTAGTCCCTAACTAGGCTTCCGATCATTTTTTGGCCGGAATCCATCACGTGCAAGGCATGTGATTATTTTTTAAGGGTAAATTAGTCAAATTATATTTTACATAATCTGATCTATAGTCCTCCACATTTTATAAAACAAATTTTTTCGTCCCTCACATTTTATAAAATGATTTTTTCATCCCTCACATTTCACAAAATGAATTTCTCCATCCCTCACATTTCAAAAAATGAACATTTCCATCATTCACTAATTATGTATGTAAGGGAAACCCTGAAAAAAATGTGTGTGAATACATTTTTTTTAAACAAATGTATATGTCTATTTGATTTTGCTTAATAATACGAATATCATAAATATATGTATATGTCTATTTGATTTCACTTAACAATACGAATACCATATATTATATGTGATCATTTGATTTCATCTGGTATTAGCTAGTAAATAATATTGCATTCATTGTCAAGTTGGCCAATAAAGCTATTTTCGATCAAAATACAATAAGAATATGCAAATTAAGGTTCTATTGGTAAATATTAGTCATAATCGTACAAAAAGAGAAGGTAGCCCACAAGTTAGACCCAATTACATACATGTGTTTATGCTATTATTATTAAGCAAAATCAAATAGACATATAAATGTGTTTAAAAAGATATATTCACACACATAATTAGTGAGAAATGAAAATTTCATTTTTTGAAATGTGAGGGATGGAGAAATTTATTTTGTGAAATGTGAGGGATGAAAAAAATCATTTTATAAAATGTGAAGGACGAAAAAATTTATTTTATAAAATGTGGAGAACTATAGATCAGATTATGTAAAATATAATTTGGCAAATTTACCCTTAAAAAATGATCACGTGCCTTGCACATGATGGATTCCGCCCAAAAAATGATCGGAAACCTAGTTAGGGACTAAATTTGTCCGATGTTAATATGTAATGGATATAAAATTACACTTTTAAAAGTGAGGGACGAAAAAAGTTATTTTACAAAATGTGAGGGACATTTTGGACGATTTTCCCTATTTACAAATATTAATTTTGGTTAATACGATTGATATATAATTTTTTGAGTATTGTCCAAGCTCAACCCACTTTGACATTTAGCCTATTTTTGAGCCCATATCCAATCCAGCCCATGCATAATGTTTGCCCAACCACTTAATTATAGGGCTAGATGGGGCCAGATTGGGTCACCCAAGCTCGATTGATCGTCCTCACCAGGGAACCATAAAAACTGTAAAACGGGTGAGAACAAAGTTTGCACGGACATATTCCACATTTGCAAGTTGCAGTCTCAAAACCATTATTGGTTTTCTGATTTTTTAACATATCCCGAAAGTAGAGGAATACCTGAAAAACTTTTTCAACCAAAAATTCCTGCCTTAAGAGGAGTTTATATAGAAAAGAAAACAGGATGGAAGAAATTGTTTGACAGACAATGACTCAAATTTTACTTAGACGAATGAAGTTGATGCTATACTTAGTTGATTTCCATGGTTCCGAACAAGTGAATTCCTCTTTGTCATTGGCCACCTTATTCTTCTTCCATTTTTCCACCATTGGTGCAAGGAATAGGTAGTTTTCCCCAGGAGAACAAGAGTTATCACACCACACCATGCAGCTACAGCAATTTCAATCACATGACCAAGTTGTTCCTTATCCATCTCTGGTGTAACATATGCAATTGATATACCATAAGTTAGTGCAATTGAAGTAGCTGTTAACCACATAACACCCACCAAGAGCCACATGAAGATCTCATGCTTGAAGGGTAGTTCACTGATGAGCATCAGGATTATGCCAAGGGATGAAACAAAGGCAGTCGTGTTGAACCGAAGGAAATACTTGTAGTAATGGAGGTGATGGTAAGCCATAACGGATTCGCCTGCCTTGTGTGGATTTGGTGCAGGATTTCCTGAAGAATCCTGAGTTGAATCATCTTGCCAAACTGCTCCTGGTGGGCTTAATCCGGCCTGGAAAGCCATTGTCGCGATGAGCGATGCCACGACCATTAGTGCTTTGCTTTTCTGTTCTAACCATCTGAAATTGGATTGCGGATTAGCTCCTTGTGTGGCTGTTGATGGATTAGCTTGAGATGGTGCATTTTCTGCAGGGACAATATTAATTGGCATTTGAGAATGTTCCTCTGCAGGCACAGTATCATTTCTTAGTGGTTGAGAATAGTCATCTGGTGAAAAATTGTTAGGCCTCGTGGTATTAGTAACGTTTGTAATGGATTCAGTGATTTCCTCTGCCTTTAAGGCTCCTACTTGTCGAAGAACCTCTTCAATCTGTTGATTCATCTCCGGGGGATTTTGTGGTATAAGGTCCATTGCTGTGCGCCCTTTTGGATTCTTCTCATTTATATTTATGGCTGTAGTTATCAAGTATTGGATGATCTGCAAATGAAGTGTCAGCAACCTATACAAAATTTAATCATCAACACCCAAAAATCAGGAAAAAAAAAAATAAAACAAGGGTATGAGAAGTTCCGCTTTTGGATTTGTTTGATGATCACGGGCTCATTCTTTAATAATGTCTAATAGGTAAACTGCACCATAATTATTTATTACCCGAATTATCTGTTGTTAACACGATATATGAGAGAAGAAATTATCTTCAAAACTCAAATATAGGCTGTGGTCATTAAAGCTAGTTTGGGGGGTTTGGGACAGAAAAGAAAAGATGAGAAAGCTTAAGTTAGAAAAGAAAAGAGAAGAAGAGATAGTAATATCTCTTCATGTTGTCTGGGAGTTTTTGGAGAGAGATAATGAAGCAATTTTCCTTTATTTGGGAGTAAAGAGAAGTAAAAGGAAAATATTCTATTTTACATAAGTGCACTTGAAGTTTGAAATTCACATAACATAAGAAAACGCTATTTTATAATCTTTATAAGGACAAAATTGATATGTTAAAATATTTACTTAATTCACTTTCTTTTCTCACGCTTTCTAGCCAATTTTGGGCTGATGGTTTTGGTAGCTTGAAAAGGGTATGGGATCCCTTCTTTTCTTTTCATTTCTTTCCTATTAAAACTTTCAAATGTCAAAAAGATTAGTCCTTTCTTTTTCTCACCAAATCCGTCCTCCCAAACGGGCTATAAAGAAGGAAATTAAGCAACATGCGACAGAACAGAATAAAGAACCTTATTGAAAGAACTACATAAAGAAATAATCTGGACCTCTACCACTACGTAAATGGCTATGTGGGAGGTGTGAGCCCAAGGAACGCACGGATTGTCCAGGTTGTTTTCTTCGTTGTGCTTGAAAGTCCATTTAGGCAAATTTGGCATGGGAAAGTACTGTTCTCTTGGTTTCTTGGCATCTAACATCAGAACAGGTCTCACAGCCACAGGTTGACTTTTAGTTCAAAAGGGTTAATGTAATTCTTACAACTTTTAATGTAAACTCATACAATCAGGATGTAAAATTAAATTTGTCAATTCAAACATCTAAGTTGGTATAAAATTTATAATTACATTAAATTTATACTAAATATAGTAAAAATTATATGAATGCGTTTGAATTGAACAAAACTCAACTCGTGAGACCTGAATTCTCTTATTTGATAACATAATACTCGACCATGAGGAGTCAATGATTGGCAAGAGCCCATCCCTAACATGCTCCTATTTCCCACCACTGCCTTTTACTGGATCCATAAGTATAGTGACATTCAAATTTCAAACAAAAGTTCAATGACTCTTAGGTGCTTTGTTTTCACCCTTTTCCCTTATAAATTTTATAACCAACCTTAAACAAATTGAAAAATAATACATTCTTTTTTATCCTTCTACATTTAAAAAAAAAATTACTCAACAAATTGAAAAGAGATACTTTATTTAACAAAACAGTAAGTGTTTAACATGATCTAGGGGTTAGACTTGATTAAGCCAAGCTTTAAGTGGAACTTTTTATTTGCCTACACCATGACAAACCAAGAAACAGACTCATCTGGTGCCCACTTCATCTGTCACGTTCTACAAGAAAGCCGTGTCCGACTAATGCTTTCATTTTGGCCTTTCTCACCAATCCCTTTCTTAAAAAGGAAGAAGGTACACATAATCAATTTGACGTTAATATCAATATATTCAAACTGTTCTTGCAATACCTGAATTTGCTTGGAAATAACAGCCAAATGCAATATGCTGAGGCCATCGCCATCCTTCTGATTCAAGAACTCCTCATCATCCACAATTTCCACCAGCTTCTTCAGGGCATCCAACTGATTATACTTCACACACACATGCAAAATAGACTCCCCACGTTTGGTCTTTTCTTTAGCTGCAAACGGCCTTGAATCAACCAGCATTTCCAAAACCTCATCTCTGCCTTTGACGGCTGCAAGATGAAGAGGGTTGCTGCCATTTCGATCAAGAACCAAGCACATGTCAGGATTAGCATTTACCAATGCCTCCACAATCTTCGAATGCCCTCTAGCTGATGCCAAATGAAGGGGTGACAATTTTTGACGCGAATCTAGCTCAGCAGATAGCTCAGGGCTTTGAGCCAATATTACTTTGACAAATTCTTCATGCCCTCTCATTGCTGCTATATGCAGAGGAGTATAATTGTTGGTACAATTTAAAGAAACTCTATCAAGAATTGATTTATCTTCTTGGAGCAATTCATGAAGAATATTGACACTCCCATGAAGGGCTGCATCATAAATCTTTTTCTCCATCTTTAATTGTCTATCGATCTCTCTCCTTATTTAGGTTCTTGATTTCCAGGCTGCAGCGTTTATAAGTACAATAGTAAAACAGGAAATAGTAAACCTCATGGCAAAGTCTACTACCCAAGTCTTAATTTATTCTTGGTTTTTTCTTGTTGACTAAATCAAGGTTTAATTTATTTGTCACTTCTCTGTCTAAATCGATGCAAATGCACAACGAATATTTTAATATCATGGTTTCCCAGTGAATGACGGGATTAAATATGACCTGTGTAACATGCCAAATGCAGCAGAAAATTTAGTGCAAGTACGTACTAGGAAGGAATCATCTGAGGATGGAAGATATCTGGTGCTTGAAAGTCATCATTCTTGTCGTGTTGGTATTTTGAATTGTAGACGATGTTTTTTTACCGAGAAGTTACAACTTGTGAACTTATGGACTTGAGCGTATAAACATAATCCTAATGAGGTTGCTTTTTTTTTTTTTTTTTTTTTTATATCAAAATTAATGTTTAAGTTTCTTTTTTTTTTTTTTTTTTTTCGGATTCAAGGTCTCTGTAGTCACCATTCCCAATGAGACTATAGTCACCATTCCCAATGAGACTATATAATGTAAGCGATAAGAGAACAAGTAAACACGACAAACTTTTTTTATTCATTAAAAGTTTTGTTCTGCAATCAATTTCATTTCATCTAATTTCAAATTCATCCCATCAAAGCAATTGCCAGAGGAACCCTCTTGTTTCCTAGTTAACCTAAAATTTGCTGTCCCTAGCTAGCTACGTAGAGGGGTAACCAATCATTGAATGGAACACAATTTGGTTAGAAAGACACTTTACCACTTAGCCTTACTATTCATCTTGAAACGAACTTGACCTTACCTATGTGCTATATAATTAAGAGGGACACTTGAATTTTCACTGAAATTTTCTTGCTGTGAGATTTCACATTATTGACAAGTACGTGTTAGGTTGATTAAGAATAAGAAATGCAGTTCTAAGTTATGAGTCACTTTATTTAATTAGTTAAGAAAACGCGTTTCTGATTTCCCTGTCAAGAGGACCTCATCACGAGCGGAAAATGCATAGAAACAGCAATGGAAATGGTAATTAAACTGAGGCCTGCATTCATCGTAAGCTTAAGAGGGAAGTATTTTGACCTGTACCAAAGTGGGGTATGAGAAGTTTCACTGAAAGTGCACCGAGTACGTTGAGCTTCTACCTGTGACAAGCACATTGATAAGGATTGATCTTTAGCGATCTAAAAATAGTCCAAAGATTTTTAGTGCAGGTGGAAGACATTGATCTTTAAATTAAGAATGTTCTAATCTTCTGATGAGCACCGGTATGCAAATAAAATTAAACTCAATTTACAGAAAAATTTTATATTTATAAATTTCTAAATATTCAACACGCAATTTTCTACAAGTATATAAGACAAAATTGAGTACATGGTATTAAGGGTAGAATTCACAAGAAAGAATGGACAACTACCGGCACTACAAAAATTTCTCTATTATTTAGATTATCAACAAATTGAAAAAAATGAAACTAAGCTAGAATGTGCAAGAAAAATAGCAAATTAAACCACCCTAGATCATGGTATCTCTAATTACTTATGCAAGTGCAATTGTTGGATCATTAAACATTACTATTTTAGCTAGTTATGACATAATTTTCTTATGCATGTAAAATCTATTCTCGTAGTAAATTTAGCAGTTTTTGACTTTCATTTATTCTCTTGAATGTTCAGAAAATCATTATAGTCCCCAATTTTCATAAAATAACAATGAGAATTTTAAATTTGAATAAACTGATTAAAATCAAACATGTGTTAGATGTTTATTAAGAACTCTAAATCCCAAGCTTTTTTTTTCTTTCATTTGTTCATGCCACTACTTTCTCATGCACTTCTTCTTTTTTTTTTTTCAGCCTTGGAATGAATTGTTTTATTTACTTAAAATTTTTGTGTAAATTTTTTGTAATATATGTTTATATATTTTGCACTATGAATAATTAATTGACAGTGAATTCTATCCTTTTTTAGTTACATTCAAGGGCAGAGCCAGAAAAAATTCTTAGTGGGGGCAAAAACAACATTAAAATTTTTTACCTACTTTTTTTTTAGTTTTTTAAGCAAAAAAAAAAAAAAAAAATTCACCAACAAATACAATGATGCATATATTCCATGAAAAACATAAAAAGACAAATTCAAAATTATTAATGCAATAATAATTTTATTTCAAAAATAAACTAAACTATTTACAATTACTCACTGCGAGTTTTTATATTTTGATAACTAATTTGGTTGTGGAAGTAAGAATGGCTCTCGGTTGTGGAGGGAAAATGGGAGACCAGTGGAGGGAAGGGAAATTGGGAAGTGGGGAGAAAGGAAGTGAATGATATGATTGGATGAATTGATCAAGAGAAAGAGTAGCTAACTGCTTGGTCGTGAAAGGAAGTGGCTCTCGGTTGTGGGGAAAAAATGGGGGACCAGAGGAGAGAAGGGAAATTGGGGAGTGAGGCTCAAAAAAAGTGAATGATATGATTGATACTTACTAGTTAAAATGAAAAAGGCTTTTTTAGCTTATTTCAAATGGAATTTGTGCCCTACGCATCTTTTTAGAATTTTAGTTTATGAACTAACTTAAAAAATTACGTAATTCTTTCACATCCTTTCTAAAAAACTTTGGCATACTTAAAATTATATTAAAATTCTATAAGTATTATAGGAATTTACGGGCCCCCAGTGCCCCCACCTTAAATCCGCCCCTGGTTACATTAACAATTAAATATATACATATACATATATATATATATATATATATATATATATATGTACGTACATACACATGCACATATATACACATACATACATATACATATACACACACACATATCGTGTCTCATCTATATTGAAAAATTTTATAAAAAATTCTATATAATTAATAAACGCCCCTCCCAAAACAAACCATAGTACATAATCAATCCCAAAGATCTTGGTCAAAACAGGCGCATGCCAATTAAATTATTGAAAGAACTACTGAGAACTTTGTTTATTGGAAGGTTAGAGCTTTAAATTCCTTTAATAGCAAGGAAAGACCCGGCCACAAACAAAATATTTTTTTTTTCCAGAAATGCCTAAAGCATTTCACATCGGCACTTACGTTTAGTAATTAATGCAATAACAATGTAGCCTAACAGCAATGCTTTGAAACTTACAAAAAAAAAAAAAACCAGTTTTTGGCACGCATACAATATGTGATAAAAAGCACCTTAAACCATGGAAAATAGTCTTTGCCACAGATTTGCAACGACTTTGGAGCCATCTTGTACACAGCCATCACAAATGCTTCGCAACAATTTTAGATCCGTAATAAATACTTTTTACCACAAAAAAGTCACGGTTTTACATTCATCATAAAAGAACTGCTGTATATGTCATTGACTATTTACCACAGTTTTTAATACGATTCGAAACTGTTACAAATACTTTTTGCGACAAATTGCAACCATGGTTTGGAAAGCATTGAGAAAGGTTTTTGCCATGGCTAATTTCACAGTTTTGGTTCTATGGAGAAAGGTTATGATTATTCATCCTGATTTCCAATGTTGTTAAAAGGTACATCAAAATATAAATGTTTAAGATCTGTTCCCACAATTACACCAGTAAAATAGCTAAAATTTTTTGTTGAAAATCTAACAAATAAGTGCATACAGGTTACTAAAAGCAGAGCATGTATTGCACAAAATTATGCCAATCCAAAGTGAATGCCATTTGAAGGCTATTGCAATGGTCTAAATCTTTAGAAGAACATCTCTAGTACACTAGCATTTTGAGACCACTCAATAAAGATTTCATGACTACAAATAACTTCCAAAAACATCTGACAACGAATGAAGTGTGTGAAGTTTTTCGCAGTCCTTATCATTATTATCCAAACCCTACAAAACAATGTTAAACTATAATTAGTATCACATAATCATTAGAGAAGTGAAAAGAGCACAAAGTCACGGTTAAAGCATATTTAGACCCATGAAAAAAAAAATACTAAGAACTGCTTCATAGCCACCGTCACAGCACATAATTAAACATTGTTGAAATAATCTACTAACAAAGGCTGCTCAAACCAGATTGCATGCGCAAGTAAAGTTGGTTCAATCAATTAACAATTCGGTTGAAGAAAGATATGCAGTACATATCAAAGGTTAAGTGAAGGCCTTTGAACATATTTCAATCACCACAATTCAAGGAACATTCAAGGCTGCTTTTGAACTGGGCTACGTTCTTGGATCTAAATGAATTGAACTTTCAAATTAAAAAAATGTTGCTTTTGAAAAGCACCATGTTCTGCAGAATTTACTCTAACTACCTTAATTGAAAGCATTTGCTTTTCTGAACTTCCTATATCAATGGATAGGATAACTTGGATCTAAAACAGCCAAACTTCCAACAAAATGCAAGAGTAGGTTTAGGAGATTAGAATAAATGCAAAAATAAATGAAAACTTACCAGAGTTTTGTACTTAATTTCAAGTAGGGTGATAAAGATAGTGTCTAGTTTTAGAGATACAGATGGATCTCCTTTAGGTTTCTCAAAGTTTGCTACCCTGTCTTGAGAAACATGCATCTTTCCTCACAAATTGCATACAAACAAACAGGAAAAACTTAAAGGGGGAAAGCTAGAACTTCTAGTATGATGAAGTAAATAGACAATAGTATGAATCAAGTAATTAATCAGGATGTTGATTTAGAAAGGGACATATTACAAAGTAGATTGGAAAAAAGTTTTGCTAGTAATATTTTTCGACATAATCAACCACATACCAGATAAAGTACAATGACAAGTGAGAGGTAGAGACTGCTAATGCAGCAATACTGGAAAATATTATGCCATTCATGTACAAGTAAGCCAATCAGATGAAAAAGCCTAACCAAGACATTTGAGATAAGGAGTATAGATGTGCCAAAGATTTTTGATTTAAGAAACATTCATTACGTGAATTCAAAGTATAACTTTCTTATGTTCCGCTTGAACCTCCAAAGAAACAAAACCATCAGTAGAAATTAAAAAGAATGATGGACCTGATGCAATGGTAGTTTGATTTCTCACTTATTAGATAATTATTCTAATTATAAATTGTAAAATCATCCAAATTATTCTACCCATTTCTAAGACTCACAAAAGACGTCCTAGTACCCAATTTCAGGCCCACATTGTACTTCAGTAAATATTCATATCCAAGAAAGCAAACAACTGATGATCAGTGCCACAAGTAGTAACTACATTTTGTTAATCTATTACTCCAGGATTATTTAATCTATTACTCCAATATTAATTGATAAATAACAAAAGCAAAGAAAGAAACCATTTGGAAGGTAATAAATTACCTCCTTCAAGCAATGAATCACAACTTCAGTAGTTCACTCTTGAACACCACGAATCATGAACTGAGATTCTTTAAATTTCAATCCAGATCAGTGAGACTTGGACCAAGGAATCCGAAGACCCTTCCACAACCACTATCAGAGTTTTAGCAAGGATCCTTTTTTTTAGGGCAAATTCCACTTTACCCCCCTGTGGTTTAGCGTTTTTTTACATAACTTCCCTATGGTTTCAAAGCAATACATAATCCCCTTATGGTTTGGATTAAAGTGTCAAAGTGACAGGAATGATCATTCATAACGGCGTCATCTAAAATGTCAAAATTACCCTTATGTAAAGTTGAAATTTATGTATTAACCAAGGGGGGTTATGTGTATATTTTGAAAATCATAAGGGGGTTATATGGTAAAATATTAAATCATAAGGGGGTTATATGGTAAAATATAAAAATCATACGGGGTTAATGTGTCATGTATTTATAAAGGTAATTTTGACATTTTTAGAAGTTCCGTTACTTTGACACTTTAATCCAAACCATGAGGGGGTTATGTATAGCTTTTGAAATCATAGAGGAGTTATGTAAAAAAGGGTAAACCACAGGGGGGTAAAATGTAATTTACCCTTTTTTTTAAGCGGCAATGGGCAGACCAAAGGAAGAGAAATAACAGAACGAAAGGACGGCTAAAGAATAAAATTGAAGCTAGATATCAAAATCCATAGTCTAATAATCACCATCAGTTTACCAT